GTCAGGCTGGTCTCAAACTCCTGACCTTGTGATCTGCCTGCCTCAGCCTCTCAAAGTGTTGGGATTACAGGCGGGCGCCACTAAGCATGCATACGATGCACACGACACCTACATGGCTTGTATAAAAGAGACACGTTTCATCACAGAAGGTATTTTCTCCGCGATGTAAACTCCAGGGTCCTTTTCTGCTTCCTCTGCTCAAACGGGGAGTGTGATGTGCCCCCTTCCTTTCCTGGGGAGACGGCAGGGAGGTGGGATGAGTGTGGACACCTCCTTCGTCGTCTCGCTCTCCGACTCGCCAGGGTCCCAGTGCTGCTGAGTTACTGGGCAGCGGCATCCCCACCTCCGGAAGCCTCCACTGCCCGCTCTGGTATTCATGAAACCTTTGGTTAACTAGAGCCTGACAGAGCAGTGGTGTCAGGGGTAGGTGGGACAGATGCTGCCTGAGGGGAACGGCACGTCCGGGGGGACAGACGCTGCCTGAGGGGGATGGCATGTCCAGGTAGCAGCTAACGTAGGCAGGGTCAGTTCATCTGTGTTACACGCGACATTTTATTTCCTCCCCAACTGCCCGGAGTTGATCAAGAATGCCGGGCTAATGAGGCCACCTGCTCTTCACGGATGCCTCCTGCGATGAATTCTGATGAGTGCTGGGGGTGAAGAAAGAGAAACACCACACACGGGCACTCCATGGGGAGTCAGGAGGTAAAGGGCACATCTCCTGGGGCCTTCAGGAAAGGCTGCCCTGGAACTGACTTTGAGATGGAGAGAGTCAGGTAGAGGAGGAGCCCTTAGCACAGAGGTGGGTCCCCAGGCTCACCCCAGTGACTGGGAACAAGGTCTCAGAGTGGGATGTAAACTGGAGGGACATGTCTGTGTTGGAGGAAGAGGGTGTAGTTGGGACAATCACACATAGGTCAGCATTTCTCAGAATTCATGTCCAACCACACCCCATGTACCATCCCCCATGGTCTTGGGTACGGCCAGGGTTAGCCATGCCCGGGGACGGTGGTGCAGATACAGCCAGGGTTAGCCATGCCCGGGGACAGTGGTGCAGGTACAGCCAGGTTAGCCATGCCCAGGGACGATGGTGCAGGTACGGCCAGGGTTAGCCATGCCCAGGGACGGTGGTGCAGATATGGCCAGGGTTAGCCATGCCCAGGGACGGTGGTGCAGGTACGGCCAGGGTTAGCCATGCCCAGGGATGGTGGTGCAAGGTTGGGGTTCTTCAGAGTAACACAGCTGGTGGGAGATATGGATGTGCTTATACTCACACACACCCCACATACACACAGCCCCACAGACCCACATACACAAGTACATATACACACACCCACAGACACCCCCACAGACCCACATACACAAATACACATAACACCCCCACACACGGGCCCACAGACACCCCCACTGACCCACATACACAAATACACACCCACAGACACCCCCACCGACACCCCCACAGACCCACATACACCCACACACACCCCCACAGACAGCCCCACAGACCCACAGACTCGCACACACATATAGACACACACAAATACACACTTATACATACATACACACCCACAAACACGTATACTCATAAACACATATATACATACACATGCATCCACATACACCTGCATACACACACGCCCACACATCTACACACATACATACACTTACATCTATACACACACATATACACACATACACACATGCACACACACGTACACATGAACATACACATCCACAAACACACCCACATATACACACATATGCACACATACACACATATACCCATACATACACATTTACACACACACACGTATACACACATGCAGAAATGGAATCTCAGGTTCAATGATGTCATCAGACCTGGTCTCTTCATCTTCAGTTTTGCTCAGTTTCATGGTGCGGTAAGATGGGGCATGTGAGGTCCAGGGCAGAGGGTAGAGGGAGAGAAAAGAGAGAAGGAAAGGTGAGAGGACCAGGGCAGGCAGGGGGATGGGGGATTGCTTTCCGCCAAGATCTCTCTTCTGTTTGATCTGCCAAATGCCGGCATCTCATTGGCCCCCTCTGAGCTAATTGTGTGGCTGCCTGGCCAGGCCTGAGACCCCTGGGCAGAGGTGGCTCTGCCGGGTCACAGAGACTGAGGACAGGTAAGGAGATGGTTCCACAGACAGTTCAGGTTTGCATTTCCCAGAAGATGGTGACTAAATGCCGAATTTAAAGGAAAAGGGCAGCTGTGCATCCTGGTATCTGAGTGTACCCCGGCCCCACCCTCCCACCTCACCACAGTTTCTGATGTGCTGTCAACACTGTCTTCTCTTTTTCCCTGGTGACTTTACTGAATGATCTTGTTTTCAGGTGAGATGGGCGGAGCCCAGTCATGGCTCACCTGCCAGGGCTGAGCCCTCAACGCCTCCGTTCCCTTCTGTCCCCTCCCAGGCCCCCCAGCACCCCCACAAGATGTCACTGTCCAGGCTGGGGCAACCCCCGCCACCATCCGGGTCTCCTGGAGACCACCCGTGCTGACGCCCTCCGGGCTGTCCAACGGCGCAAACGTTACCGGCTACGGCGTGTACGCCAAAGGGCAGAGGGTGAGTTTTCGTTGGGTCCGGCGGGGGCGGGGAGCTTGTTAGGCTCTAGTGCAGCTGGGATGGGCCCGGTATTTGCTCAGTGAAGGAGGCAGGGCCTGCTCCTCCAGCCCTGATCACTGGAGGCACCCTCAGCCCCGAAGACTCCATCACTATACTAAGCACCACCCACTCCACCCCAAGGCCCCTTCCTCATTTCCAGCATTCCCCCCACCTCCCTCCCCTCACTCATCCCCTTCCCTGCTCTGCTGTGTATTAAAAATGCAGGGGCCAGAGAGGGGACCCCCAGTATCAGAGCATTCTTGACTGATGACTGCCTTATTCATTTCAACAAACTGAGTCTTAGCAAGATGATACCCATGGCCGAAGGCACGTCCCACCTTGAAACACTGCTGGGTCTGCACGTTAACAGGTGGCCAGGCCTTGACTCCAAGAAATGGGTATATCCCTGGTGCCTGGTGTAGGGAACCACGGACACCACCCCCTAGCCCGGCCTGGGGTGAAGTAGAAGCGTCTGCCCTCAGGGAGGGCTTGGAAAAGCAGCTGCTCCTCGCCGCCGTCCCCAGCTCTGCCCGGCGGGAGCAGGGGTGACTTGGAAACAGAGGCAGCACGTTGCCTGAGCCGCTTCCAGCTGACTCCTGTGCTCTGAGGCAGGAAGCCCCCAGCATGGGCCCTGGCCCCTGCAGAGGAGCCCTCAGCCCTGCTGTCTCCCAGCAGTTGGAAGCCCACGTTGGCCTCTGCCTGAGCCCCTCTCTCCCCTCCGGCTGTGGCAGTGTTAAACCTGACACTCGCTCCCCTCTCTGGCCGCTGCGTCTACTCAGAATGGGTCCAGAGGATGGGAGATAAACAGTTGACGTCACTGGCCTCACGGAACCCCTCCCACTGACTGGGTCCTGGTGCCTGAGGTCTGTGAACCTGTCCCTGCCCCCTCCCCGCAAGACTTCCTGGAGCTTCCATATCTGGTGGGTGGTTGGAGTTGGAGATTGCTGGGGGTGATCCTTTGCACCAGGCATCTGGGCAGACGACTGGCCGGCTCCCCAGGCAGGACCGCGGGGCTCATCTCAGGCAGCCCGCGAGCCTGCTCTGCTTGTCCACAGGTGGCTGAAGTCATCTTCCCCACGGCAGACAGCACGGCCGTGGAGCTCGTGCGGCTGCGGAGCCTGGAGGCCAAGGGTGTGACCGTGCGGACCCTCTCCGCCCAGGGCGAGTCCGTGGACTCTGCAGTTGCTGCCGTTCCCCCCGAGCTCCTGGTGCCTCCTACCCCCCACCCAAGACCTGCACCCCAATCAAAGCCATTAGCAAGTTCTGGAGTCCCCGATACCAAAGACGAGCGCCTGGGTCCCCACGCCAGGATGGACGAGGCCTGGGAGCAGAGCCGTGCACCTGGCCCTGTGCATGGGCACACGCTGGAGCCGCCCGCAGGCCCCGGAAGGCGGTCGCCCTCACCCAGCCGCATCCTGCCGCAGCCGCAGGGCACCCCAGTGTCCACCACCGTTGCCAAGGCCATGGCCCGGGAGGCTGCACAGAGGGTGGCTGAGAGCAGCAGGGTAAGGCTGAGGCTCCCACTTCAGTGACTCCTCAGTCCCCGAGCCCCATGGGACGGGGCCCTGTCATCTCCCCAGCCCACGGAGGGGGACCGCATCCCAGCTTGCCGGGAGGGGGGCCACGCTCAGCCCATAGCTTTGCTGGTGGACTCTGTCATGTGCCTGATCCTGATTGAGTTAAATGGTGTTTTTTATTTACGAATATGTAGCCACATAACTAAGGAAATGCCAGGCACTTGCCTGGCTTAGAAAGCAGGCTCAGAAAAATCCAGACAAGGGTCTTGGTGTGCGACAAGGGATCTGAGAGTTGTCCGGTGGAAGTTGGCCAGGACCCAGTTTCCCGAACCGGGCTCTTCCTGGTTTTGCTGGCTGCAGAGTCCTAGGTTCTGTGTGTGTGTGCATGTAAATATGTACACACACATGCACACATGTGTCTATACATGTATGGACATGCACCCACAGATACACGCATCTGTATGTGTCCTCACATGCACATCTGTACCTGTGTGTAGAAACACATGTGGGCATACAGGTCCCTGCGTACGTACTTGCATGCCTGCTAACTGAACTCTTCTGGGTCCAGGAGAGAGCATTTGGATTGTGGTAGGGCCATGTTCCAGATGACACGTGCATGGGACGTGAAGTTTTGAGAAACTGCCGGCAGAGTAATGCCTCCTGTGCAGGGCTAGGAGGGGAGATGTGGGGCTGGGAGCCAGACCGTGTGTCCGCACCCCCACCCAGAACCCAGTCTTGTCTCTCCTGCTGTGTTGAGCCCATTTCCACCTGAGGCGGCAGCACAGCCCTGGTCAGGGCCCTCGGCCCTGCTGGGTCAGCCTGTGGGGTCTCACCAGGACCCTACACCATCCTCCTGTGAGCGTTCCTCTGGGCTGAGGGCCAGGCCAGGGAAACTGAGGCGGGGCACGCACCCTGAGAGGTCAGTGCTGAGCAGCAGCTCAGGTGTGTCTAGGAGGACAGAGAGGATGACGGTGACACTGGGCAGGGAGCCACCTTCTCCGTGGCTTGAAAAACTGGAAATCTTCTGTGAAATTTCCTAATTCTTTCAACATTGGCCACTAATAAAAATACTAAACATGAATTTGTGGCCTTTGTGTAAAGGAAACCCCCCTTCAGAATATGTGAATTCACCATGGCTCTGATTGGCTGACAGGCAGGAGCCCAGGCCCCGGGCTTGGGAGATGGTGCTTCTGGGGAGGCCGTGGGCAGGACGGGGTAGCAGCTGCCCTGTGGGATGCGGCTCCACTCCTGCTCCAGGTCCCCAAGAAGGCTGTGAAGGCAGGGAAGCCTGGGAAGCCTGGGAAGCCCGGGAAGCCTGGGGCCGGAGAGGAAGCAAATCTTTCCAAGTCCTGTGTTTCAGACAAATGTGAATTGGTCAAAGTATTTAAAAAAGCTGGGCAGAGGGGACCAATGGAGGGAATGAGGTGTCATCTCTGTATCCAAATATTACCTCAAAGGTTAAAAAGAGGCCAGATGCGGTGGCTCATGCCTGTAATCCCAGTAGTCTGGGAGGCTGAGGCGGGCGGATCACCTGAGCTCAGGAGTTTGAGACCGGCCTGACCAACATAGTGAAACCCCGTCTCTACTAAAAATACAAAAATTAGCCAGGCGTGGTGGTGGGCACCTGTAGTCCCAGCTACTTGGGAGGCTGAGGCAGGAGAATCGCTTGAACCTGGGAGTCAGAGGTTTCAGTGAGCTATGATCATGCCACTGCACTCTAGCCTGGGCGACAGAGTGAGACTCTGTCTCAAAAAAAAAAAGAAAAAAAAAAATAGATTCTGGTGGGTCTGGGGCAGCGAGAGGGTGGCAGAGCTGGGCCCAGAGCACTGTGTTGGGGGCGCCTGGCCAGGCTCTGAGGGGCGGAAGGTTTGGCGAGTGCAGGTGGGGCTGAGTGTGGCTGAAGGTGGCCCTGCCTCACCCGTGTGCCTCCTTTCTCTTTCCAAGTTAGAGAAAAGGAGCGTCTTCCTAGAGAGAAGCAGCGCAGGGCAGTATGCCGCCTCGGATGAGGAGGACGCCTACGACTCCCCAGACTTCAAGAGGAGGGGCGCCTCGGTGGACGACTTCCTGAAAGGCTCTGAACTCGGCAAGCAGGTGAGTGCGGGCCAGACCCCACACCGTCCTCTTGGTCGGCATGGGCTCGGAGCAGGCCCCGTGGAGATCAAGAGACGTGGGCACTTTTCCCCGCTACCCTTGGGTCCCTAGAGAGATGGAGACGCCCAGCTGGGGGTCCCAAGTCATGCTAGATTTCTTAAGCTTAGGTTTGATGATGCCTGTCACATACCCTCATTGGAGATAATTGAAAAAGTCGAGGTGCAGGGCTTCCACCCGCCCCCACTGCACCATCCTGGTATTTGGTCATGGGGGTGGTTTTGCAGGTCCTGGTAGGCTTAGGCTCAGTTCAGGCAGAACCTGCCATTCGCTCATTCACCTCCGTTAATTGGGCAGATGTTTGTTGGACATCTGTGTGCTAGGGAGGCATCATGGGAAACAAAATAACATGGCCAGTGTTCGTCCTTCGGAACAGCAAAACGTCAGAGCTGGGCTCACGAGGAAGACATTCAGCCAGTGTGGGGTTTCTGTCTAATTTCCGATCGTGCATATTCTAATGGAAATGCCCTCGGATGCTGTAAAGAACAAAACTTGGACAACAGGAGCAACTGGAAATAACCGAGGGCCTGGGGAATGCTCCATCTTGGGAGCTCAAAGACGCTGCAGATATCAGATCCTCTGTACCCACTCCCACAGCAAAACAGCCCCATACCCAGAGAGGGGGACTGGCATCTCTCAGACCTGGGTTTATGTCCCGGCTGGTTACAGACCACAAGTGGGCAAGTCCCCTGACTGCTCCAGCCATGACGGTCTTCATCTGGAAGATCCAAATCATTCAGAAACGGAATGTCCAACTAATCATGGCTAAGACGACAAAGACGTTTAATTACCCCACATCACAGGAAGTCTGCAGTAGAGGCTGCGAGGTGGATTTGGCTCTCAGTGTGTCAGGGGTCTGGGTTCTGTCTCTTCCATTCTTTTGGCCTTTCTCTCATGGTTACAAAGTGGCTGCCATAGCTCCAATAATCGCACCCTCCTATGAGAGAACCCCAAGAAGGAAAAAAGGGATGAATGGAAGCCAGACTTCCTTCTAGTCGGACTTCCCATGATATCTCGCTGAGCAGACTGAGGTCGCATGGCCACCACCCAGGCAGGAACTGGATTCCAATGAATGGCTTATCAGTGACGTGTCATCCAAAAGCCCACCAGCGTGGCTCAGTGGTAGAAAGGAGAGCTTTATTGGAGAGGCTCTGGTGCGTGCTGAGGGTGCTGTCTCTGAAGAGGGAAGGGCAGGGTGGTTTTTGTGCCTCACAGGGTCCACATTACACAGAACCATAGGCATTCAGGTTGGGGAAAAGCTGTCCATCCGTCCGAGAGGAGTCACACACACACATGCAGGGAGTAGACGTATCTGTAGCATCCTCCGTGCGCACCGCACCTGGGGCGGGGTTTTAGTGTTAGAATGAGGTGGAATTGGCTCTTGCCACCAAAAGGTGAACCCCAGGACTCAACGCCTAAGCTAAAATGGGCCTAAGCCTCTTCAAGCTGAAACCGGCTTCATGTCTACAGTCGCTTGTCAGAAAAGAGTGTGTGTAAGGCCGGTCCTCTGCCCAGCTGGAGTTGCGTGGTCTGGGTTGTAAATGAGAGTTAGGAGGAGTCCCACAGCTCCTGTTGTTGGGGAGTTTAGCGAGAGTGTGGGTTTTCTTGCAGCATAGGAATTTCGAGAGCAGCCATGCCAGCCAGGCCTTGACCCCTCGGCCCCAGGTATCTTTTATTTCCCTAACCTTAGGGGCCATCTCAGTAGAGAAAGGTATCTGTTTTGGTTGCTTGGGTCACAGATGATTCATTCTCTTGGTGCTGGGCCCTGGGTGAGTTCTGGAGATAGGATTTCTGTTGACTGTTGTACTGGTCTGCTGGGGCTGCCATCACAGAATACCACAGATCAGGTGGCTCAAACAGCACGAGTCTGCTTCTCACAGTGCTGGGGGCTGGAAGTCCAGGACCGAGGCACCAGCAGGGCTGGTTTCCCCAGAGGCCTCCCTGAGGCCTGCAGATGGTGCCTTCTCCCTGAGTCCTCACGTGGCCTTTTCTCTGTACATCCCTGGTATCTTGTCCTCTTTTTGTAAGGAAAACAGTCCTGTTGGATTAGGGCCCTACCATCATGATGTCATATAATCTTAATCACCTTTTTAAAGAGCCTGTCTCCAAATAAAGTCACATTGGTGGTTAAGGTTTCAACCTCTGAATAGGGCGGGGTGGGGAAATACAGCTTAGTCCATAGCAAATGTGGAGCCAGCAACACCTGCCACGATAGCACAGGTTTATGAGGCTTTCTGTGTGTTGCATGACACACAAAATGCAACTGGCATGTAGTAAGTTCTCAGTAAATGTGAGCTCTTATTTTGTGTGTACAGGGAAACTGAGGCCCACAGAATTGAGAATTTTTGTCCGTGATTACGCAGATGGTCTTCTAACAGAGCTGGAATTAGATTGAACCGAGGCCTGCAGAAGACCTGTTTCCATGCCTTTCCCAGTGTGCCCTGTTTTCTACCTACCCAGGAGTGAATCATTACCTTCCCTGCAATCTGCTCAGGTTTTGAACCCAGACGAAAGGCTGGAGCACTTGTTCTCTGGGTGTGGGACCCACATCCCCACTGGTTTTTGAGATTGGCATTCAGCATGGTCTTATGGCAGCCACAGCCCCAGGTGGCCACAGAGCCCTGGAGATGTGGTCACCTGGGGCTGAGTGTGACTGAGGCCCTGAATTTTTACTTCTATAAAATTAGTTACAGATTAGTTTACATTCTAATTAGTTTACATGTAAACAGCCACACGTGGCTGGTGGCCACCACTGCTGACGCCCAGCTCTGGATGACCACACCTGCTGCAAGAGATGACTTTTCTAGAGAAGAGTAGAAATACAGCAGCAGAAACACAGCTCTGCACTTTCAAGGGCCTTCCAGTCCTTCTGATGAGCCTGTAGAGGAAGTCTGTCTGGCTAAGCATGCTATTAACGTTGTCGTGCTTGTTTCCTTTTTTAACAGAGCAAACAGGTCTGTTTCTATTAAAATTTAAAAAGCATTAATATTTAGCAGCATTGTTTTATGCTGTATTCATTTAGATGACAAGTGACACTTGTTTTCCATTTACAGTTGAGATATTTTCTGTAAAAGTAACATTAAATATTGATTCAATTCAAAGAATACATTCATTAATCATACGGATGACATCTGGCTAGGTGACGCATCATGATGGTGGCAGGGAGTGACTGAAGTTGAGCTGGTACACAGACCGCTGGTTTTACAACCCGGGAAGCATTTCCTGACCACCTGCTTCCCCATGCTGCCCGCCCCGTCACACGTACCCTTACCCCGGCGTTATCCCATCTGCCCCAAGACACTGACGTTCTAGCAGGCGGAAGCCTCCACTTTTAGTTGACTATTATAGTATCTCTAGCATTTCACACATAGTAGGTGCCCAATGAATGTTTGTCGAATGAATGAATGAAAGAAGTGAGGCTAAGGGTAGCCGAGACATTTGCTCTGAAAAAATCACCTCCATTCTCCCAATATTTCAAATACATTTCCATTCAGTCCACAGTGAGAAATGCTCGCTATACCAATAAATAATATCTTTATCTATTTTTAAAAGTGTTTCATTGACAAAGACCGTCTGTGTTCCAGGTGTACGTCTTGATGACTGGATGTGGGTACGCACTGTGTAAAGACTGCCACGCACGGCTGAGTGTGGTGGCTCAAGCCTGTGTTCCCAGCACTTTGGGAGGCCAAGGCGGGTGGATCACTTGAGGCCAGGAGTTTGAGACCAGCCTGGCCAACATGGTGAAACCCCGTCTCCACTAAAAATATAAAAATTAGCTGGGCGTGGTGGCAGGTCCCTGTAATCCCAGCTACTCAGGAGGCTGAGGCACGAGAATTGCTTGAACCTGGGAGGTGGAGGTTGCAGTGAGCCGAGATCGTGACACCACACTCCAGTCTGGGCAACAGGGTGAGACTCGGTCTCAAAAAAAAAAAAAAAATCTGTCCCAGTCAGGTGAATTAATACATCTGTCATTGCCCACGCTGAACATGAGGCCCACAGAACCTGCTCTGCGTGTCACTGAAACTCTACCCTTATTAAATCTAAGGAAAGAGGCTTTTAAGAGGAATTTGTGATTTTTAGTTTGGTGAGAGAAAAGGTGGTTTGCCAAGTGACAAGACTGAAGTTTGCTATAGTGATGATCAAAATCCTGTCTTGTGGAGGCTTTACCTCAGCTTCTCTATAAGTGAAATTTATAGCCCCAGGCCTGCTGGATGCGGGGCTCAGCACCTCCCCTATCCCCAGGGAGGGCCATCTGCCTGCCGGCATTCTCCACTGAGGACTGGAGGTAAAGCCGCGTGTCCCCCAGGAGAAGGCACCCGCCAGGTGGAGTTTCTAAGGCCATGTTCTCTGTCAGCAGAGGCAAGGGCAGACCTGGACCCTGGTCTCAGCCCTCTCGTTTACTTGCTGAGTGCCTTCGGCCAGTCACTAGACATCTCCCTGAAATGCTGGCGACCTTTGCTTAGAACACTATTCCAGGAATGGAGAGTCGGCTGACCTCAAGCATCTGGTGAACGCCAGACGCCTCCTTCCGTCTCAGGAGTTGACCCCTAGTTCGCTGCTGGGGTTGAACAAAGTGAGACTGTTCTGTGGTGCAGGAAGTCCCTCGCCAGGGGCCTCGTTAGACACAGCCTCACCTTTTTCATCCATTTAAACCCAGTTCGCTTTCATGCCTTCCACTTGGAGCCTGGTTGGAAGCGTTAGGCCTGGTGCAGCTGAGAGGCTGGTGTTACAGATTGCCCAGCTGAGGCCCTTCCCATCCTCCCTCCCGTGGGCTCGGGGCCAGAAACCTTCCATCTGCAGTGCCATGCAGCCTCCCTCAGCAGGCCAGGAACTGACCGTGATGCCCACGCATACACATCTTCATCTAGGTTAGTCACTGAAGCCAGATTTTTTTAAGATAAATACGTCACAGAATGCTATTGAATACTTTTGTCTTGCCACACCCCCGCAAAATAAACTGTTCCCAATCGACACCATGTAGCAAAAACACAGTATCTTTATGGATGTATTGCATTCATAAATCTGAGTGCATGAGAGCGTGTAGTTTGAGTTGTCGAAGGTTTGCTTTGAATACCGTTACCACGAGACGGGGTGCTTTCTCTGTGAGTGGAAACCGGCGGCTGCTGCTGGCACCATCACTGCGAGAGTCCACCCGGGCTGTCGCTGTCTCCAAGCTGGCATGTTACCAGGTAGCCGCTTCATTTAAAGACACTTTTTTTGTTGAAGCCTTTAAGCTGTCCGCAGCCTCCGCCCAGTGCCCCTACTATCTGCACAATCTTCATCTCGTGCTGAGGCCGAGCTGGGCCTGGAGTGAGCACACGGTCTGTGCGGCGCAGCGGGTCCACCTCCTGCCAGGCCAGGCTGTCTGCCAGTGTCTGCGCGTGTGTGTTAGACAACGTGGCATGTTTTAAAAACCGAAGTGCCTTTTTATGGTGCATATACACCCCACCTTACCACTATCCCCCTGCCCCTCTGACACAATGCTGGATCCGGTGTACGCCTGGCGTGCACTGATCCTCACTGTCACCAGAGTTTGCAGCCTTTGTCCAGCCAATAAGTTGGAGAAGCTGAGGGTGCCCAGAAATGGACATTCTGCCCACGTGTTTTGTAAGCCCCAGTGGGTTTTCTGTCTTGTCCAGAGCTCAGGTGTTTCTGTACCTGTTGGAGCTGAGAGACCTGCGCTGATCCTGTCTCTGCCACTTCAACAGAGAGGGTGGGTATATCCTCTCCCAGCCTCACTTTGCAGAACTAGTAACACACCCTGTGCCCATCTCTAGGCCTGTGAACCCCGAGAGTCAGCAAAGCAGGGAAAGGGTTGGCAAGCTCAATCTGGCCTCCTCTAGGATGCGGAAGGAGCCATCCACTCAGTAGCCCCTTTTCTTGGCCCCCAGCCGCACTGTTGCCATGGAGACGAGTACCACACGGAGAGCAGCCGGGGGTCTGACCTCTCAGACATCATGGAGGAGGACGAGGAGGAGCTGTATTCTGAAATGCAGCTGGAAGATGGGGGAAGGAGGCGTCCCAGCGGCACGTCCCACAATGCCCTCAAGGTGAGTGGCCGGGGAAGGGGGACCCTGCACTCCGTCCCCAGAGTAGCTCCATCCACGTCCCTTTGCTGGGGCTGGTGAGGCAGGCTCCAGAGGGGCCTTGCCCTACAACCAGCAGCCCTCGGATTTGGATTCGCTTCTTTCTCACTATTGAATCTGCATTCGGGAATTACCTACACTCCGGTCTTGCTCTTGGCCAAAAGGTCTGGGTAAAGGAGTTTAGAGGAATCCATTTGACACCCTCCAGGGGGCACCCAGCTCTGTGCCAGCAACAGGAGTGGGGGGATAGAACAAAGACGACCCGCCTCCGCAGCCTTAAGCCTCACCTTGAGAGAATCGGCAGCCGAGAGAGCGTGAATCAGCCTCTAAATCTAAAGCAGAGGTCGGGACGCTGTGGTCAGCAGGGAGCTCCTTAAAGGAGGGCACTCTGGTGGCCCTGCCTGGCGGTGGGCAGGAGTCAAGCACAGTGAGGTTGGAGGAGACGGGTGTGGAGGGAGGGCTGTCCCGCATCTGATCACACCGGCCTCGCAGATTGGAGGCTCCATGCACCTACTCAGACCACCTCCCGCTAGACCCTCTCCCTTCTGCTCCGGCAGAGGCCATCAGCAAGGGGTCGACGGGAGATTGCCTGCAGGAATATTGAGCTCGAGGCACCCTAGAGCCAAGGAGGGTGGGTTTCCCAGCCACGTGGCTTCCCCTTGGTCCTGGCCTTGGGGAGACGTTTGCCACTGCTGCTGCAGCCGCTGGCCAGCGTCTGACTCCTGCGTTCATGTGCTCTGCAGGGCGGTGCGGGATGACCAGCTCTACGCACCAGGCCCTGTGCTAGGCCGAGGGGTGCCCTCTGCAGGTCCCAACCTAATGGGGAGACAGACAAAGAGCAAGCCATGGGTAGGAGCTTTGTGGGTTTTCCAAATGGAAAAGGCCTTGGAGAGGAAAACTCCCCGGGACGAAGCCTCCCAGCACTGCTTTCTCCAGGAAGACAGGGCGTGCATTTTGAATGGTGGACAGAAGGCTCATCCAAATCTGGCCTGCCGACTCGGTGCCTACTTGCATAGACAAGACTGACTTATGTTCTCCTGGCAAAGGCCCCTGGCAGGGCCGTGGGGATGTCCTGTCACCAAAGAACATGCCAGATCCCTATGCAAACCCTGCATGGTGCAGCACGTGCTATCCCCGGCAGCTCCTCCGTCCCCGCTCCCAGGTGACACCATGGAGCAGGCTCACGCTGGCCTTTGCGGAGTGGTCCAGTCTGACCCCAGGACCCCTCTGTGTACCCCAGGGCCAGGAGCTCTGAAAAAGTGCCCATGAGTCGGGCCGGGTGAGGCGGGCAGCTGGTCTTCCCATGCCCCTGATGCCTCTCCTCTTGATGGAGGAAGAGCCTGGGATGGGGCTTCATGGGAATCGCTTAGCAGAGAAATAATGTCACCTTCTCTCCTCAGAAGGTGGCCCAGGGTCAAGCAAGTTCCTCATAAAGTTCCTGGGCTGAGCCCCACCCCCTCCACCTCTTAGCAACGGGGATCACTGGGGCAGGGGCTTGGCCAGGATGGGGCAGCCTCCCTCTCCCATTCACAGAGTGTTGTCAGTTTTTAGAAATCACGTAGGAGGCTGGGTGCGGTGGCTCACGCCTGTAATCCCAGCACTTTGGGAGGCCGAGGTGGGCAGATCATGGGGTCAAGAGATCGAGAACATCCTGGTCAACACGGTGAAACCCCGTCTCTACTAAAAATACAAAAATTAGCTGGGCGTGGTGGTGCAGACCTGTAATCCCAGCTACTCAAGAGGCTGAGGCAGAAGAATCACTTGAACCCGGGAGGCAGAGGTTGCAGTGAGCCGAGATCGCGCCATTGCACTCCAGCCTGGGCAATAGAGCGAGACTCCATCTCAAAAAAAAAAAAAAAAAGAAATTGTGTAGGCAGGTCTGGATTTCTGGATTCTCTTTAGAAATTACAAGATGTGGTACAGAGATCTGGCCACTCAGCATGCACGTTCCCATGTGGCAGTGAGAAGCTGTGGCAGAGCTGGGTCCCTGGTGGGCATGGCAGGTGTTCGGCCCCCACTGGCCTGGTTCACTCATCCCGCCTGCCTTGGAAAGTGCCCGGGGTTGCCATGCCTTTACTCTAAAGATGGTTTGTTTTTGATGTCCTTATTCTCTCCAATATTAGCTCATGTGCCCCCGATTCTGCAGAAAGTGAAGGGAGAGCTGTCAGCTGCAGAGTGCGCCCCGATGCCTCCTCCCGGCTTGTGGCCAAGTCCCAGGCCCATGGCAGACCCCGTGTTAGGCAAATCCCACGTGGTCCCCGAGATCAAGGGGCCCACAGCCAGAGGGGGGACAGACAAGTCGCCCTGTTCTGTGCCCATGTGGCTTATCTCTACTGAGCATCCCCAGGGCTGATGGCCAGGACCCAGGGGCACGCTTTACCTGGGTGGTCAGCCAAGCCCCCTCGAAGGAGAGACCAGTCAGGAGTCCTTCATGCTCTTCGGGTAGAGGGTGAGTTGAGGGCTGTTCCCGGCAGAGAGTGGTGACATGCAGACGGGCAGTATAAGAGCCATGGACACTGGTTAAGCAGCTCCCAGTGTGGCCAGCCCCGTGCCACCCGCTAGAGACCATGATGGCTCAGGTACGGCTCTCAGGGATCCCAGAATGCAGGATGCAGAGGAGACAGGCGGACTCCAGTCCTCCGCTGACACAGACTCTGCACGACGGTGTGCAGGCACTGTTGGTGGGGCCGGGGATGGCGTGCTTTCACGCAGCTTGTATCTTAGCAGGGAGAAGGGTGACACATCGGCCTAACTAGAAAGTCCTGCAGAGGGTGCTGAGCACTGGAAGGGAAGCGGGCCCAGTGGATGGACAGGGGCAGGTCAGGCTCCCCGTCTGGTGAACTGTCTCCAGTCACAGTCAGCCTCCAGTGGCAGCTGCCCTCAGGGTTTCTGAGGACGCAGCACTGGGCAGTCTCCCCTGGCACCGTGGCCACACCCACCCTCCACAGCAATGGTCCCGCGGGCACTGTGGGGCCTGATGTGCTGCCGGAATCTGACCTGCCCTCTCCTTGGCTGGATGCATGGTGCTGGCTCCTGCCCGGCCCACTGGCTCTGCCTGTGCTCTGCCTCGGCCTGCACCCCGCACCAGCCCCGTCACCCATTCTGTTTTCATTCCAGAGCCCTCCACGGCATGCCCCCGGCCCGAGTAGACGCATGCTTCCCACCCCTCACTGCCTCCAGGACTAATTCTGTCTGTATTTTCTTTCCTCCCCCGGCCCCCACTTCATGCTGACCACACACTGTCTTTCCCGCGCCTGTTCTTGGCACGCCACCCCCGTAAGGACTGCACTGAGCATAGGACCTCTGAAGGTACTTTCTGGGAGCCCGAGTTTCCCCACCAGCCCCACAGGAAGAGACTTTTCAGTATCCCCGAAGTAGCGGAAGAGGATGGAGAGTGCTGCGGGCTGCTGCACAAACAGGGTGCAGGGCCGTCCCCCAGGGCCAGGACGGGGCTGGCCAGAGAGACCAGGCCCGGCCGGCCCTGCAGGGGCGATGAGGCCCCTCGGGGCTCCTGGTTCCCGGTGAAGCACAGGGGCTCGGGGACCGTCCCCCACGCCGAGGATTTCCTTCTGGAAGACAGGGGCTGTCGGTTCAGCCGCTCGGCCACCCGGAGCCCGGACAGCGGCCTGGACTGTGGGAGTGAAGAGGAGGAGTCACGGTTTGGCTTTGGAAACACCGTGGCCACGTGCAGCCCAGGCCCTGGCCACTGTCCCTGCAGGAGGGGCCTGAGGCCGCTGCTGGCCCGGCGGCGGACGCTGACCCGGCAGAGCAGCGTCGAGGAGGACTTTGGGGAGCAGGTGGGCCCCGGTGGCGTCCTCAGGAACGACGACCCCCAGCCCAGCCCGGAGAGGCCACTCCCCAGGAAGCACGGCTGGGGCGAGCCCGCCGAGCACCAAGATTTTCGGGGTGTCTGGAAGAAAAGCGTAACCATGCCCGACAGTAGGGCAGCTGCCCCCCACGCAAAGCCACCTCCCAGAGTCGCACAAGGCCCCCTGGTGTGTGACCTAAACTTCCTTTCCACAGCCACTTGCCAAACTAATCTGTTCCATTCTTTCATTGGTTTTCTGTTCGTCCTGGTGTCCATCCCTGGGGACGCTCTTGCCGGCTGTCTTCATTTTCCCTGCATTTTTGCTTTCTCAAGTCCCATTTGCTTCCCAACCTTTTGACCATGCTGAAGATTTCTTTACTTTGCTTAGAGTGATGATTTCCACCCCCCAGAATCAGTAATGAGTATGGCTGCTTGAATTAAAGGACAACTGAATTTAAATTTTAATTAAGGGTTAGCTGAAGTGCGATTCTCTGAAAGTCTGGCAACATGTTTGTGTGCACAGCGATCCTTAGGGATTTATTTATGACGACTAGGATTGTCAAGGGGTTTTTTTTGTTACTTTGGAGTTTTTTTCATTGCTTTTTGACCTTCATCCATAACCAAAAAAAAAAGAACAATGATTGAAGAAATCTATTTTTTTTTTTTTTTTTTTTTTTTTTTTTTTTTTTTTGCGTATTGTTTCCAAAGTTTTTGTTTTTTTCTCATTTGTTTTCTGTGCCCACGGTTTCCAGAACGCACTTTCCATGATCAGCCTTCTCCCCGCCGGCCCAGCCGTCTGGGCTTGTTGTTGGTGTTGAGCGTAGGGATTCATTGAAGGCTTCATTCATCTCTATATTGTGTCCTCTTTTCAGAACATTTGCTCCTGTCATGCTGACCTTTTCATTGAAAACACAGGTGAGCCATCCACATGGCGCCAGGCCTTGGGTCTGAGGCCGTGTGCTTGCGATGGGCCCACCCGGGAGAGGTGCGAGATCCGTACCTCGGCGACTCAGCTGCCCACCGCAGCCCGCGGCCCCCCAGCCCCACCGCAGGCTCTGCAGCAGGCATACCTCATCCCCAGACTCCCTGCCCGCCGTTCACGCCTGTGTTCCTGAGAACTTCCTCACTCCATTTACTTACTAGCAAGAAGAAGGTGTTGCTGTGATTGTCTTTAGTCAATCCTAACCCTGATCTAAAGGTGAATTTAGAGGTGAACTTAGCCAGAAAGGCGACTGGTCTGAGTCCTGGAATGTTACCAGCATCTTCAGATTAGGAGTAGAATGTTGAGTTTTGAAGCTGATAAAATGTAGAAACTTCCGTCTTTGAGTTGTGTGTGAGAAACCTCACACACAACTTTTATCCAAGCAGGACAGGTGGAACTGCAGTGTCTTCCCCACTTTTGTGACAGCTGGGAGGGGGCATGTGGAGACTAGGAGGGGCTCAAGTGCTCCAAGGAGCCAAGGTGGGGCGAGATGTATTCAAGCCATTGTCTCTTTGGTCCAAAACATTTGTCTTCAGCACCAGCAGCAGCAACCAAGAGACCCCCTACCAGGAATTTTTTGCCCTCACCCCACCATGCGCCCAGCAGCAGCTCCGAGTAGAGAGTGGGTGCTGGTGCACGGCTTTGTTCTCTCCCAGGCCATTCAGCTAACCTTTCAGTTAAAAGCTAAGTTTAGTTGCCTTTAGAGATTCTGCTTCTCAACCCACTTGATTTGGCTAACTGAATTCTTCAGCTCCCAGTGCTGGCGAGACTTATGACTTTGCTGTTGTTTTGTCTTCAGATTTTAGGGAACCCAGCCTCTGCAGGACGGGTGGATCACATGGGTCGGAGGTTTCCCCGCGGCAGCGCTGGTCCTCAGAGGTCCCGGCCCGTGACTGTCCCATCCATCGGTTAGTGGCTCCATCGTTGCTGTTCTGTCTTTCAGCTGCGGAGCATGTGGCTGCTTACTCCATCTCAGCATGAACACAATTTTAGGAGTAGCATTTTCAGCTAAGCACAGAACCCTCTGTTATTTATGGCAAAAAAGAAGGCAGGAACAGCACAAGATAAATGAAAGCTATTTGTAAGTATTCTTGAAATATCAAATTGGCCTTCTACATCCATGTTCTCCCCGCTGATTTGTTCCTGGAGAGTTTCACAGGGTAAGCACTGAAGGGACCACTTGTGTTGCCTCCCTCGTCCTGGCACGGGCTCCCCGGGACACTCAGGGTCAGAGCCCGTGGCAGGTGCAGAAGCTGGATGTCAGCGTGCCTCGGGGGTCCGTGAGCCCCGCCAGAGGGAACACTGTCTGTCTGCAGAAGACACACGGGCAGCAGAGCTAAGTCCTGGGGGACACCGTGCAGCTGCGTGCGCCCCTGAAGTGCGTGCTCCCCACATCCATCTGGGCACCTCCCCTGCTCATGAGCCATCATCGGGCATTCTGTTTCCATTCTCTTCCTGACATTCTGGAATTCAGCCAGCCGTGCTGAAAGCTATCGTTTTAGCCATCCTCATCAATCCGCGGAGGGGGATACTTCTATTATTGGAATCAATCATGGCAAGGAGAATTCCAAAAAGTATTATGCATAAGATAATGGAAGCTGGTCATCAGCATAGAGGAACCAGGCTTCTGTGAACACACACACACACACACACACACACACACACACATGCAAGGAGAACTCCTGATACCACAGAAGTAGATGAGGAGAAACCGTCTTGGTTTGGCATGACAGGGCTCAGGGAGGATAACTTCTGGATCGTGTAGGCCCCTGAAAAGCCACCTGGAATCTCACTGAAATAGCTGAAGTTTAAAAGGCAACTGGTCTTCTTTTCCGTCAACTCAAAATGAAGACAGGCTTCAGGAAGCAAATAGATTTTTTAAATTGTGTCCTGCCAGACTCTTTCTTCCTTGTGCAATTCAAACAGTAAGAAAAAAAAATTTCCTTTTCCATCTTTACAGTTTTTAGATTGTTTTTATCTTTAACCCGTAAAAATTCCATGCAGTGTTAAAGATCCGTAGGCAACAGTATTTTCAGTTAACTGAATAATAAAAGATGCAGTCAGGTTCAGAGAACCTTGATGGTCATACTACAGATCAACTAGCAGGGTTAGTGGAGCCCAGATTCCTTTCGGGGTATTCTAAACCTACTGCGTGTCTCTCAAATCTTCATTCACTTTGTGTCCCTCCGGAGGAACTATGGAGCTTAATAAATAGGTTCTCCTGGCTTTCGTGTTAAATGGCCCGTCCGAGATGTCCTGTCTTGAGAAACGCGGTGGGGAAAAGGCCACTCCTCCTGTTCAAGGCTCTCTTTCTCTCTCTCTGGTTAGGGTGAGTTTTCGAGTCTTCACGTGATGGTAACTTTAATGAGTGAAATGACCTGGTGATGGGGTAGCCACTGACAAGTTAATGCTGTGGCCATTCAGAAAGGACGTCCTTTGGAAGAGCCATGCTGAGTCTTCTCTTCCAATCTCCTAGGACTGAGAACTGAAAATTGGGCTGTGACAAATCAGCACTTGAGCCAGGAAGTCCAAGAAAACCAATCCTGGGCCTGCAGTCTTGCCAGGGTGACCCTCGCTGTCAGAGTCGCAGGCGACAATTTGGCTGGATTTTTCTGCAGCTGTGGAGTTCCAAAGGCTGCATATGTGTCTTAATTTTGGGAGGACACTTGTTAAATTGGGCGAAAGAGCAAATCTATGTCAACACCTTAACAAGGAAAAAGCCTCTGAACATAACTCGGAAAAGAGTTAACTGACAAACCTATGAGAGGTTTGCTTTAATTGTGCTGACTTCTTATCACGTAGCCAGCCAGGAAACCACATAAAAATAACAAAAACCAGACACTTTATACACAAACACACATCTCAGCACCTATGATGGTTTCAAAAGGAAACAGAAGTGGTGGGTGCTTATCACCCACCTGAGGCGGCGGCCCTGGCAAAGAGCCTTGGGAAATGAACATCAGTGACAGCTGAACAGACAGGATGTTCCTCTAGTTCTCATTTACTTAACTGTATTTTTCTTGTGAAAATATTAGAGAACAATATTTTAGAAATCTGCTACATTTCAAAAGCATTACTTTTCTTTTTCAGAGGAAATTAAGTCTGTAAACCATATACTTCCTATTTTTAATAAGCAGTGGACCTACAACAAAAAATAATATAATAGGTTCTCTGGATTTCCAAAATTTAAAAAATGTCCTTCATGATTAAAAAACAAAATTATGTAGCTTCCTATCTAATAAATTCTAAACCACACAATTAGCATAAAGAGGTCTCAACGCTGATAGATGTCTTCGTATATATACTTAATTAGGTTTGGTTTTATCCTTTATAATTTTTGGTCTTTGCATTTATCTAGTTGTCGACCTGTCAGACAGAAGGCCTGCAGATTCACCCTTCTAAAACCGAAGCACTGTGTTTAAGAGGATTCTATTCTTAGGAATCAACTCTGAATATCTCCTCTGTAGTCTCCCATTTTTTTTGTTATTTGTTATTTTGGCTACTGAGCCTACAAAGTGAGGAAAGTACAGCACATTTTCTTCGTGTTCAGGGAGGAAAAATAAATTAACTCTATTGACAAAGCTTTGCCCCTTAAAAAGGAGAGCCTTTTCTTCAGGTTTCCCTGCAAGAAAAAAAAAAAAAAAATCAAAAGCTGTCAACTCTGTTTAATAGATGATTCCCTTTATCTCCACAGAAATTACAATGGACAGTAGCAGGGAGGGCGGTCGGTCTGGGCCAGGTAGTGAGGGAAACCTCTCTCCTGTAGAAAACGGTGCTTATTCTCACGGCACCGGTGGCTTTGGGAGGCCACCCAGGCGGCCAGGCATGAGCCCTGATCTCCCACATGATATGCACACCCTTCCTCCTAGCAGACCCCTTGGGCCAGCACGCTTCCTCAGCAGGACGGGAGGCAGTGCCCACTCCCCCCAGGGTTAGACGGACAGCTGCAGGTAAGTGCTGCTTTCAGTCTCGCCTGCCACCACCAAGGACAAGGGACCCCCAGTGGCCCAGTCCAGCCTGCAGTGAAGCCAAGTTTCCACGGACACATTCCAGGGAGGCCGCTGCTCTCTCCCTGTCGAGGTCCGGTGCTCATAACACATCCAGTGCGTCTTCTCTGGAGGAGCGGACGGTGGAGCCACCGCAAACACACGACTTTATTCACATACGTTCAACTCCAAGTGCTCCGCCCACCTCTACCCCACAGCTGTCTTCCCCCAACACAATGTGACACTGGGCAGTTCTCTGAAAGGAGCCTTCGTCGGGGGACTGGCCTCAGGCAGCTCTGTGTTGCGGTGTCTGCCTAGATGCCTCCCGTGGTGTGGCCAGTTGCATGGTGCATGTGAGTTTGGACTTGAAGACAAAACGATGTGTTTTTGCAGATCATGGTCCTTGACTATAAGCCACTTACTGAGAAAACGCACTCTTGGCTCTAGGAGGGACTGGAAAGATTTTCAAGGGGGATGTCGACCACCCCCAACTCTCTCTAGGCTCTGACCATAGCCCCTCACCCCTCTGCACGTTTTGAGGCCACAAGCTTGCCACATAAACTCAGCTGGAAAGTGCTGAGAACTTGCTTGGAAAACGCTGTAGCCAGAGGTTCCCCTCCACCGGCATTTTTCCGCACCTGGAACTGCATTCACTAGATCACACTGACATGGTCATTCAGTTCCTCCAGCAGAATGGAAAGCACATCCTTCTCACACAGCCACAGCTGTTCTCCACCATCATCCCTGGGTGCGAGAAAGGGCTGCACAGTTGTGCCCGCTGTGGAGGCCACGGAACGCTTCACATTCTGTTGAACTCGGATACCACCTGAAACCAGAAAAAACGTCATCAGGTTTTTTCACTGACTATCCACAAAATCAAAATAGCATGGAGAAATTAATGAAGCCTGCTGTGGAAAAGTTTTGTTCCCTGGCAGAAATTACATTTTAGATTAGGCATTCAAAAAAGACTCTACATCTCAATAGTGTAAACAATTTATTACATTTTAAAATTCAACGTTTCCTGCAGCCAAAACGCTTTTTGTTTTTAGACTACGTGTTTCATTTTTTTCTGGTGAAAGAGACTGATCTGTTTGGTTCTTTCTCTACCACCTGTCCTGTCTTTTCCACATACTTGTGTCCTCTCGTCCCACCACCTGTGTTCCTCGTGCTGGGACCGAAGCTCCCGCTGGGCTGCCTCTCCCAATCCTGCGCTCTCTGCTGCCAGCTGGCGTCTTTCTCACTCGCTTCCGTGACGGTGTTCTGAGACCACCTCCCAGGATCAGACCAATATTATCTGTTGGTTCCCTCTCCCCCGCCTTCTCTCTCCATACATATATGCACACATATATCTAATGTTCAGTGATACATATGTATATATATGCATATGTATTAGGATTTCCAAAATAATTGTTTTGACTTTTTACAATCAACTTTCGACTTTTATTTTGGATTCACCAGGGTACATGTGCAGGTCTGTTACATGGGTATAGTGAAGAGTGCTGAGCTGTGGGGTACAAATGATGCCATCATCCAGATAGCATAGCACCCTGTCAGGAGTTTCTCAGCCCTTGCCCCCTCCCTCCTCCACCGTCTAGTGGTCCCCAGTTTCTGTTGTTCCCATCTTCGTGTCTATGTGGACCCAATGTTTAGCTCCCACTTATAAGTGAGAACATGAGGTATTTGGTGCTCTGTTCTTGTGTTAATTTGCTTAGGATGATGGTCTCCAGTGGCTGCACGTGACATGATTTTGTTCATTTCTCTGGCTGCGTAGTATTCCATGTGGTATATGCACCACATCTTTATTCAGTCCACTGTTGATGGGCATCTGGGTTGATTCTATGTCCCTGCTACTGTGAACAGTGCTGCGATCACCGTATTGAGTGCCTGTGTCTTTTTGGTGAAACGACTTCTTTTCCTTTGGGTATATACCCAGTAATGGCACTGCGGGGTCAAATGGTAGTTCCGTTTTAAGTTCTCCAAGAAATCTCCAAACTGCTTTCCACGGTGGCTGAACTAATTTCCATTCCCTCCAATGGTATATACGTTTGTAAGTGTTTCTTTTCTTTGCAGCCATCCCAACGTCTATGTTTTGACTTTTTAATTGTCGTTCTGAATGGTGTGAGATGGTCTCCCGTCGTGATTTTGTTCTGGATTTCTCTGATGATTAGTGATGTGGAGCATTTTTTCATAGGTTTGTCATCTGCGTGCATGTCGTCTTTTGAGACGTCTATTCATGTCCTCCGCCCTTTCTGATGGAGTCATTTTTTGCTTATTGATCTGTTAAGTTCCTTGCAGATTCTGGACACTAGACCTTTATCAGATGCACAATTTGCAAATATTTTCTCCCATTCTGTAGGGTGTCATTTACTCTCTTGATAGTTTCTCTTGCTGTGCAGAAGTTCTGTAATTAGGCCATGCATGTTAATTTTTGTTTGTGTTGCAATTGTTTTTGTGGTCTTTGCCATACATTCTTTGTCAAGGCTGATGTCCAGAATGGCATTTCCTAGGTTTCCTTGCAGTATTTGTATAGTTTGAGGTCTTATGTTTAAATCTTTGATCCGTCTTGAGTTAATGTTTGTATATGGTAAAAGGTAGGAGTCCAGTTTCAATCTTCTGCATGTGACTAGCCAGTTATCCCAGCAGCATTTATTGAATGGGGAGTTCTTTCCCCATTGCTTATTTTTCTCAACTTAGTCAAAGATCAGATGTTTGTAGGCATGTGGTTTTAGTTCTGGTTCTCTAGTCTGTTGCATTAGTCTGTGTGTCTGTTTTTGTACCAGTGCCACACTATGATAGTGACTGTAGCCTTATAGTATAGTTTGAAGTCAGGTAATGTGATACCTCCATTTGTTCTTTTTGCTTAAGTTTACTTCAGCTATTTGGGCTCTTTTTTGGTTCCATATGAATTTTAGAGTAGTTTTTCCTAATTCTACGTAAAATGATGATGGAATTTTGATAGAAATAGCATTGAATCGTATACATACATAACAAACTTGCACATTGTGCACATGTACCCTAGAACTTAAAGTATAATAATAATTTAAAAAATCGCATTGAATCTGTAGGTTGCGTTGGGCAATATGGCTACTTTAATGATATTTATTCTTCTAACCCATGAGCGTGGAATATTTCAGCGTTCATGTCATCTATGACTTCTCTCAGCTGTTCTGTAGTTCTCCTTGTAGAGATCTTTCACCTCCTCGGTCAGATATATTCTGCGTGTCTTAGTTAGATGTAATCTGTATATTTTCTGTGTGTGTGTGTGTGTGTGTGTGTGGCTATTGTCAAGGTGATTGTATTTTTGATTTGGCTCTCAGTTTGAACAATTTATTGGTGTATAGAAATGCTACTGATTTTTATACACTGATTTTGTACCCTGAAATTTTATTGAAATTATTCGTTTAAGAGCCTTTTAGCAGAATCTTCAGGGTTTTCTAGGTTTAGAATCATATCATCAGTGAAGAGAGATAATTTGACTTCTTATTTCCTATTTGGATGCCTTTCCTTTCTTTCTCTTGCCTGACTGCTCTGGCTAGTACTCTAGTGTTGAACAGAAAGGGTGAGAGCAGGCATCCTTCAGTGTTGAACAGGAAGGCGAGAGCAGGCATCCTTGCCTTGCTCCAGTTCTTAAGGTGAATGCTGCCAGCCTTTGCCTGTTCAATATGATATTGGCTGTGGGTTTGTCATAGATGCCTCCTACTATTTTGAGGTACATCTTTCAATGCCTAGATTGTTGAGGGTTTTTTTACTCATGAAGGGATGTTGGATTTTATTGCAAGCTTTTTCTGCACTATTGGGATAATCATATGGTTTTTGTTTTAGTCCTGTTTATGCGGTGAATCATATTTATTGATTTGCGTATGTTGAACCAATCTTGCATTTGAGGGATAAAGCCTACTTGGTCATGGTGAATTGTCTTTTTGATGTGTTGCTGGATTCAGTTTGCTGGTATTTTGTTGAGGATTTTTGCATCTGTGTTCATCAGGGATATTAGTCTGTGGTTTTCTCTTTTTGTTGTGTCTGTCAGATTTGGGTATCAGGGTGATGTTGGCTTCATAGAATGAGTTAGGGCAGAGTCCTTCCTCCTCAATTTTTTTGGAATAGTTTCAGTAGAATTGGTACCAGCTCTTCTTTGTATGTTGGTAGAATTCAGCAGTGAATTCATTTCATCACTATTGGTCTATTCAGGGTTTCAATTTCTTCCTGATTCAATCCTGGGAGGTTGGGTGTGTCTAGGAATGTATCCATTTCCTCTAGTCCAAAAGAACCACTTTTAGAAGCTGGGTGGTATATAGAGTTGAAACCCAGTTCACCAGGAAATTATTAATTCACTGTAATAAAGATGCGTTTGTTACCAGTTACGTATTTACCTAGGTGAACAGTTGGTCACCTCCACGGACTTTGATTAACATACAAATGTATTTTAAATGTGGGTGGTGCTTAGCTTTCCATTTTGCAGAGCGTGTGGGTCCTGGGAAGGCTCCCCAGCATGGGCCATCCTGCCCCTGGCACTGTGGCAGCTCCTGCCCCAGCCTGTGCTCTCTAGGGAGGCCCCCGAGGCCCAGGCCTCGGTGCTTTCACATGCAGTGTGGCCAGGTACAGAGTGTGGGTGTAGTTATATGCTTCTCCAGTTCATCTGAGCTAGACCTCCTGATCTATTTCTGCCTACATGTTAAGACACAAAAAAGACGAAAGTCAAGGAACTGCTGCCATCCTCACTGCTTTTCAAAGCTGCATTTCCTGTGCGCACTCCTCAGTTAGGCTCACTGCCGCTCTGTTCTTCACCCCCACTTGCTCTCAGACGATTACGGGCGAGACCGCCTTTCTCCAGACTTCTATGAAGAGTCGGAAACTGACCCTGGTGCCGAAGAGCTCCCGGCCCGGATCTTTGTGGCTCTCTTTGACTACGACCCGCTCACCATGTCCCCAAACCCAGATGCTGCAGAGGAGGAGCTCCCCTTTAAAGAAGGCCAGATCATCAAGGTGCGGGACGGCTGCCTGGGGCAGCTTCAACAGCCCCTGAGGCGGGTCTGGGTCGAGGGGGCGGAGACTGGCCACTCAGAGATACAACTGCTCCTGCAGGTCGTGGGTGGGACACGTCAGCCGCCTTCTCCTGCAGGCTGTGGGCGAGGCACGGGGAGCCGGGCACAGGAGGAGGTGGCATGGTGCTGTGACGGCCAGGGACCTGCCCTCTGCAGAGTGCCTTCTCCAGCGTCTGCCCGGTTTGTGTGCACACAAACACCCAAATACGTCCTGTGAACTCTGGATTCTATTAGGGCCTATGTTGTTGAGAAAAATATACAGGCTCCAAATTTTAAAACAACACTTGTCGGTCAGCAGGCAGGCAGGGAAGAAAGGAAGGAGGGAGAGGAAAAGGGAGGGAAAAGGGAAGAAGGGAGCATCAGTAGCTAGAGGCCGGAGTTCCACGCCTTAGTTCTTCAATATGCCTGATGGAGGCTGTTTCCTATCCCTTTGATAGCCAGCTTTTTTTTTTTTTTTTTTTTTTCTTGAGACAGAGTCTTGCTCGGTCACCCAGGCTGGCGTACGGTGGCACCATCTCGGCTCACTGCAACCTCTGCTTCCCGGGTTCAAGTGATTCTCCTGCCTTAGCTTCCCGAGTAGCTGGGACCACAGATACACGCCATCACACCCAGCTAATTTTCTTTTGTATTTTTAGTAGAGACAGGGATTCACCATGATGGCCAGGCTGGTCCCGAACTCCTGACCTCAAGGGATCTGCCCGCCCTGGCCTCCCACAGTGCTGGGATTACAGGCCGTGAGATCCAGCCTTCTGAGAGAAGAGGCGCCTTGTGAGTTTTAAGGAGGGAAAATGAGAGACAGCGTGCTGTTCAGTAGGAGAGGGGCAAGACAGAGGGCCTTGAACCCTGTTTGCAGTTTCAGCAAGGGTCCTGACAGTTGGCATCTGAGAACGGTCGGAATGCCTGCTGTGTGGCACTATCTTGTTACGTGGGAACCCATTTCAGGCAGACAGCAACACCGCTTTGTGCAGCCTACTTGGTCCTTCTTGGTCGAGTGGGGTCTCATCACGCACCCTTTTAATGTGCGTGAATTTAAATACATGCATTCATCCAAGCAAACCCCCTGCCTGATGAGAAGAATGGCAGGTTGTCCAAACGCTAGATGAAAAACTGGCTCGAGTCCGTCATAGAGCGAGGGTTACACGTACACATCTATGGCACACACGTGGGTAACCTACGCAGGTGATTTATGGTATTTTAAAACCATATTTAAAATATATTTTCGACTAGACTCACTTACCGTCAGTGGGACTATTGTATTTCTGAACCAATCAATTACAATGCTTGATTTATTTTTCCCCACGACTCTAGGTTTATGGTGATAAAGACGCTGATGGATTCTACCGTGGAGAAACCTGTGCCCGGCTTGGCCTTATTCCTTGTAACATGGTCTCTGAAATACAAGCAGATGACGAGGAGATGATGGATCAGCTTCTCAGACAGGGCTTTCTGCCCCTGAATACACCTGTGGAGAAAATAGGTAAGCATAAACCCCTCTTCGACCTTTCCTGTGCGTTTTATCGCACCAAACGCCTGCTGCTCAGAGAGGCAAGTGGTGATGAGGGGACCCCAAGTTGCATCATTTAAATACGCCAAAGTCATGTAAATGTTGACCAGTGATTTTTCTTGGGCAAAAGCCACTCTCCAAACCAGGACTGCCAGTAGTCTCCTGCGTGCTTTAGGGACACACGTACGTAAATGTGAAGACACAGATGATCTAATGGGCGATGAAGTACAATCTTGCTTGCAAAAACTTTATCACACCTAGAAAACACATGATTAGCTGCCTTCTGGTAATATGGTGTGAACATCAGCCTGTCTACAATAAATTTCAGTGGGTTGTCAGGGGAGCGCTGTGCCTTTCATTCTTTAGGTGACCTTTGCTTATCCAAGAGGCACAAAAGCTTTTTTCTCTTTAGTTTGGGTAGACATGAAACTCCTTCATTTATCTTAAGCCAGTCTGCAAGCACCCGTGAGAACGCAGCAAAACGATTTTCAGTGATTTTTAAGCAACATTACATTTATGAGTTTTAAATTTTTTTCCATGTACAATGACAATGTATTCATTTAAAAAGCCCCTGTTGTCTCAAAAAAAGCCTTTATTTTTTCTAAAACGCTGTAGAGAGATATCAGTTTTATAGCATTCATATTTAAGGTTTAATACTTCAAAACTTGATTAACTTCTAAATCAGACTTCAAAGACAAAATTCAGTGCTTCAAACACTATACATAGTTTTAAGGATAATCACAAAATCAAAACATTTCAACCTTTTTTGGCATTAATAAGCGCATCATCTCAAGATAGAATCCACATCTAATAGTCAAGGTTTAGTGTGAATATATCGCCCACATTAAATCCATGAGATTGAAGATCTTTGAGCCCTTTATCCCCCTATCCACTTTTGTTAAGATCTTCTTTCCCGAAGTGGACTAAGACTGTTTCGAAGAGAATACAGGCCCTGTACACCACAGACCCAGAAAGTATACAAGAATTTCTTTTAAGGAATGGTAACTTGATTTATATTATCAATTAGATTAAATGTTTTTTATTCTATTTTTTTAAATGTGGATGGCCAAGGGAACCTAGCCTGATATAGCTACGTGTCCCCCACCCCGCCCCACCCCCGCCATCGCCAGAAACTATCATCCTTAATGGTGAAAGGCTGAATGCGATCCTCCTAAGACTGGGCACAGACAAGGACTTTGGCCCTCACCACTCCTTTTCCACATCATACTGGGGGTCATAACCAGGGCGACATGGTGAAGGAAAGTCACACCTGGTGTACAGACGGGAAGGGAAGGAATACAACTTTTTCTATTCACAGATGACATGGAAATCTACTTAGAAAATCTCAAGGAATCTCAAAGGATAAAAAAGTTCCTAGAACTAACAAATGGAGTGTAGCAACCTCAACGGATACAAGGTCAATATACAAAAATCAGTTGTATTTCCATATGTGAGAAATGAAAATTTAGAAATTAGAATTTTTTAAAGTAGTGCCATTTACAATGACACAACAAAACATGAACTACTTAGCATTAAATCTAACAAAACATGTGCAGTATTTGTATGACGAAAACCAGAAGACACTGAGGAAAGAAATCAGATACCTAAATAAATGGACAGAGAGACCATATTCATGGACTTAATATTGTTATGTCAGCTGTCCGCAAGGTAGCCTACAGATGCAGTGCAAGACCATTCAAAATCTGTGCCGGGATTTATACAGACTCAACAAGCTAATTCTAAAATGTGTATGGAGAGGCAAAGGAACTGGAATAGCCAAAACTATTTTCAACAAGAACAAGAAGGTTGGAAGATTCACGTAAGCTAATGGAAGCTTACTACTGTAGAGGTAAGCTAATTGAGGTAACGTGGTATTGGAGAAAGGATAGAAACGTAGATTAATGGGGCAGAATGAAGTCCAGAAACAGACCAATACATATGGAGTCCACTGATTTTGGACAAAGGTAAAAAGGCAATTCAATGGAGAAAGGGTGCTCTTTTCAATAACTGGCGCTGGCATTACTGCACATCCATATGCCAAAAATGAATCTTAACCCATACTCTCACCATATTAAAAACTTCAATAAAAATGGATCATACTTTTAAGTATAAAAATTAAGACTCTAATACCTCCAGAAGAAAACGCAGGAGAAAACTTTATAATAATCAGGCAACGATTTCTTTGACAGGACATTAAAACATGATCCATAAAAGGAAAAAGTCAGTGTTAGGCTTCACCAAAATTAAATACTCTGCACTGGAAAAGTGCAGAATAAAAAGACAGCCACAAGCTGGCAGAAAATACTTGCAAGTAACCCATTGGAAAAAGGACTTGTGTTCAGAATACACAGAGACTTTTCAAAACTCATCAGTAAGGAAACAATCCAATAAAAATATGTATAAAATATTTAAGTGACCTTTTACCAAAGATGATATGTGGGTGGCAAATAAGCACATGAAAAGATGCTTAACATCACCAGTGAAATACGAATTAAAACCACCCTGAGAAACCAATGCACACACACTTAGAACGGCTAAGATTAAAACGACTGGCCGTCGCAAGGGTGGGCACAAAGCGTGCCAGATGGGCCTCTGCACTGCTGGTGAAAGTGGATAATGGCATCACCGCTCTGCAAAACAGTTTGCTGGTTTCTTGTAAAGTTATATATGCACTTACAATGCAATCCAACAACTTCACTCTTACACGCTTACCCAAAAGAAAGGGAAACTTATGTTCACACACACAAAAACTGTACACGAATATGTTTGATGTTTTGATGACCAACAGTCATCAAAATGTGGAAACAACTCAGGTGCTTTTAGCTGGTGACTGAGTAATAGAGTGAAGGTGCCCCACACAATGCAGCCTACTCAGCAATGGAACAGAGCCACTGCTGATACAGCCAGTGACAAGGGTGAATCTCAGAGGCATCATCCAAATGACAGAAGCCTGTCTCAAAAGCTACATTCTGCATGAGTCCCTTTCAGTGACATTCTGGAAAGGGCCAAAGTCTGGGGCAGGAGACAGATCCGTGGTTACCTGGGCTGAAGTGACTACAGAGGACCATGGCCGGTGTATATCTTGATTGTTGTGGGGTTTCAGGACCGTGTGTGCTTATCACAAAGTAAAGTACTGCACGCTAGAAAGAGCCTTAGTGTATGTAAGTTCTACCTCAGCGAGAAGTACATGTATGTTGTTATGCCACCTTTCCAAAGTCATACTTGTAACATTCCCTGTAACATGAAGCATGCTGAGAAACACTAACCTCTGGGTGAGGTCATAATGCAAGGAGACATACATGTGCAGGTCCGACAGAGGACATGTGCACAGAGGCTTGTGTGCGTCCTGTAAACTACAGCAGTGGCTTGTAATCAGAACCCAAGGGGGAGTAATTGCTAGAATTTTGCAGGTCTACACAACTGGCCCCTATACCTGCTGAAAACCACTGAAAAGCCACATTGCTGACTTTAGTTGCCATTAAGATAGTTGCCTTTGATGGTGTTCATCTGTATGTTTGGAATTTCCCAAATCAAATGTAAGCAGAAAGTAGCTGTGTTTAGAAGAAACACACAAATGCCAACTTTCGCCAGGAGGAAGGTCCTTCCCAGCCCCACACCTTCAGTCTGACAGGGGTTTCCTGATTGGGCCAGGTCCTGCGGCTCTCCACTGAGGCCTCCTTACGTCCTGAGAGTTTTCACCTGTTATCTGTGTGGAGCGCTCACGCTGGGCAGAGCCTAGGGCAATTCCTCTGCAGCCCCTTATGCTTCTGAGTGTGCTGGGATGACACCCAGGCCCCCATCTGTGGCAGAGACAGAGCCAGGCCGTGGGAATGCACCTCTAAGTCGACTGTGCACAGCTGGGCTCTTCTCCACGGCCACTGCTAAACCTCAGCGGAAGGATGCCGGGGAAGCAGCATGGGGGAAGCCACAGAGCTGGGTGGAGAAGGCATCCCTGTTTATATTCATGCTTCTCCTGAGGATGGTGCCTTAGTTTTGCCTCCGCTTAGGGGAGCATGACTTGATTTTGTCATGCCACCACAGTTACACAAACAGGCACTTTTAAAACTGTGTCTATGGGGCTTTCCCAGAGCAATGGTCACAACCGTGCACTGTGCAGGGCCTCACGAGCTACGGCCTCCCTGTGCTGGCCAAAGCCGTCTACATTTGCTGTTTGAGAGCCCTGTGCTTCATGTGAGTCTCACTGGCTTAATGGACAGACTGGAGGAAGGAAAATGTTTATGTTACTCTAAGGGGGAGAAACCATACTATAGCAAAAATATAAGACTATGGAGTCCCGGACGACTGACCCAAAGTAGAGACGTTTGCTGGTGTGAGTGCCCAGGAGATGTGGCCCTGTTAGCGGTGCCAGGTCGCAGCTGCATTGGCCTTGTGTGACACGGAAGGAGGGGGAACGCCGCTAAGTTTGAAATAACGTCATGATGGCTTTCTTCCCCCCTTGTGATTTGAACAGAGAGAAGCAGAAGAAGTGGCAGGCATCATTCAGTATCAACCCGGAGAATGGTGGCCCTGTATGACTATGACCCCAGAGAAAGCTCGCCCAACGTGGATGTTGAGGTACCAGCCAAACACTGCGCTTCGTGACGGATACAAAACCACACCCCATCCCTTCCCTCGTGGTACACCACACTGAGGCCACGTGTGTTCGTTCACCTTCTCATTCCTTCTCTCCAAACCATCCATAGGAAGGGCTGCCAACCCGAGGGATGGCTGATACAGACATGGCCATGCAGGAGAGAAATCATGGGATTCCCAGGGACACGGCCAGCCCTGACGAGCCCTGTCCCTGTGGCCCAGATTTTCCTGTGCCACGACAGAGACAGCAATCTGTCATCCACATCTAATGGTGCTGCCACCTGAGGGCCATCTTTGGGAGAGAAATAAAAGCCCATCACATGTGGTCAGCAAACAAAAGTAAAGCAGTAGGCCCCTCACATAGAACAGAACAGTAGAGAGGAAAGCAGGGATAGGTGAGGAGCAGTAGGCCCCTCACACAGAACAGAACAGGAGAGAGGAAAGCAGGGATAGGTGAGGTTGCGTCGCCCGGCAGGGATAGGTGAGGTTGCGTCGCCCGGCACCGCTTGGGATGCCTGGTGTCTTGAAGGCTGAAACCGCTGCCTTCAGAAATGAGATGGGGTCTCCAGTCTCTGCAGCCACCAGCTGAGATGACAAGACATATGTGAACCCATGTTACGCAGTACTTCGCGCTCTCTGACAAGCCATTGGTTTGCCAACTATATTCCCTCATTTTTACATTTAGAAAGAAAACGTGTTTGGTTGTTAATATCATCTAGATTTCTGTTTCCATGTTCTGCTTGGTGACTGTGAACTGAAATGCGCTGGGTCAGTTGGACTCCTGACGGCCATGAGGCGTGTTTGACACCACCTGACTCAGGGTTGCAGCCTGGCCCACAGTAGACGCTGAATAAAGTGATGTTCAGGCCGGGTGCAGTGGCTCACGCCTGTAATCCCAGCACTTTGGGAGGTGGGCAGATTGCTTGAGCTCAAGAGTTCAAGACCAGCCTGGGCAACATGGCAAAACCCCATCTCTCTGGAAAATACAAAAATTAACCAGGCTTGCTGGCACACACCTGTAGTCCCAGCTGCTCAGGAGCCTGAGGCAGGAGAATTGCTTGAACCCAAGAGGCGGAGGGTGCAGTGAGCTGAGGTTTTGCCACTGCTCTCCAGCCTGGGCAACACAGTGAGATTCTGTCTCAACAAATAAATATATGTTTCATTAATAATTGAGTAGGTTTTAAGATACTCAGTGAAAGGATATTTATTTAATGGTCCTTATACTACAGAGAACATTCCCCTAATATTCTAGGTTTTTACAGTTAACTATTTCACTAGCTTTAAAAATGTATTACCAGTAGAACATGGTAATAATCTTGAATTTTGGCCAAAATCAAAGCACTGCAGCATTTTCTTTTAGGGGGGCATTATCTTGGTTTGTCCTTACTTTCGAGAAGACTGTGGGCAGAGCCATTCATTAGCTTCTACCTTTATTTGAACGAGTCGGTGAATACCAGAAATTCTCAAATAGTAAGGGAAAGCATAGAGAACTTATTTTTAAAAAACAACTACTTTTGTATAGAAAAATACTATTAATTTTACGTTTCATCTCCACAGGCTGAACTTACATTTTGCACAGGAGATATTATTACCGTTTTTGGTGAAATTGATGAAGATGGATTTTATTATGTAAGTTTTGGAAATATCAAGAGGTACCGTTTATGACTGTATTCTTTTTCATTTATTTTGTGTTTTGTTTTGCTAGTCTGTTCCTTCTCTTAAAACTGGGCATCAACTTCATATGGCTGCTGACAGCGTTGCTTAATTGGCTTGTCTCTTTGCTGAGTTATAATCTAGAAAGTTGGGACTGTGAACTTCATTGTTTCTTCCTTGCAAATACGAGTCTTTTTAATGGATCTACATTGTAAACAAAACAAATACATTCATATTTTAAATTGCTGCCACCCAAACATTTACAAAACAATTTAAGTTTCTAGATTACTTACTGTATAGGTCAGAAATAAATTTTAGGAAAAGAAAGAAATACAAATAAGCAAAGAAATACATAACTAAAACACCCCAGATTTTAGGACTTCACCCTTTCCTTTTATCTAGAGCCTATTGCTGTTAGCAGCACGCAACACCCCACCCCACCTTGCTGCCGGTGATTCCCGGCAAGGACCTCAGAGCCACCCTCCTTCCTTTTCTGTTCCCCTGGAGCATGTCTCGAATATTCCCTGGGGCAAAGAAGGGAGGGAATGGGGTGGGGTTATCTCAGAGTTTCTGCAGCTGGGGCAGCTTTGCAAGTAGCTGCCCCTCCCTGACCAGAAGCCCACAGGGCCACTTAGGACCCTGTGCAGAGCCCAGTGGGGGTCCCCATCTTGCACATGTGTTTCCACCTGCTCCCCCCGCTGCCTTTATCAGAATCCGCAAGAAGTGACGACATCCTGGATGGTAGGTTTCTCTTTGAGTCAAACAGATGCTGCAGCCACAGGCATGTGTGGAATTCCCAGGCTCTCTCCTCTGCCTGGTTTCTGATTTTTAAGAGTTCAGCCCTTGGTGAGGATATTCATACTTTGTCACATGTGTTTCCAATAGTTCCAGATCAACCTCTGCTTTTTAACTTTGTGTGTGTTTGGTTCTCCATTTTTGTTGTTTATTAACGATGAATTTTACGTTTGTATGTGGTCAGATGTTTCTGCCTTGGGGGTCATGCCTGAAAGGTCCTTCAATGTGATAGAAATAATCACCTCATTTTGTTTCGATTTTATAGTTTCCTTTTCCACATGTAAATCTCAAGTATCTACCATCTTTTCGTAACTATGAGAACTAATGTCTCAACATGTTTACTAAATAATCTGCACTTTCCCTACTTTAAAAAAATCATTTAATACTAAACAATGTAATACATTTTAAAGTATAAATAGGAATTTAATATTAGAGTATTTATGGACTTTAACACTACTCCATGCTGCCTTAATTATTGGATTTTTATCATGCATTTTTACATTTGGGAGGGGTCATTTTGTAAAGAGTCCCACCCCCACAATCTATCTATAATTTTTTGTTTAGAGGTACATTTCGCTTTTGGAAGAAACAGACATAGTATCGTCTTTCAATTCTGACGTAGCATGTACCTCCTTCTAAAAAGTTTTTCCTTTCATCTGTCAGACAAGATTCATGGATTTATTCTTACACATCCTTTATAGATCTTAAGTTTACTCTTAGCAACTATACAGATCCAATGGCTGGGCACGGTGACTCACACAGAGGCCGAGGCGGGCTGATCACCTGAGGTCAGGAGTTCGATACCAGCCTGGCCAATGTGGTGACACCCTGTTTCTACTAAAAATACAAAAGAATTAGCCGGGCGTGGTGGCATGTGCCTGTAACCCCAGCTACTTTGGAGGCTGAGGCAGGAGATTCACTTGAACCCAGGAGGTGGAGGTTGCAGTGAGCCGAGATCGCGCCACTGCACTCTAGCCGGGGTGACAGAGCGAGACTCCGTCTCAAAAACAAACAAAAAAGGAATTATATAGATCTTATTGCGATTGTGAATGATTTTTCGCCCTAGTATATATTCCACTGGTTATTTAGAAAACATGTTGGAAAGGTGTGTGTGTGTGTGTGTGTACATGTCCTCCACAAATCATTTTTCTGAATGCATTTATTTCTGTTATCCACCGATTCCCTTGGGTTCCCCCAGATTGTCATTATTTTGCCTCTTCATCAATATTTATAATTGTCATCATTTTTAATTGTCTTACTAATCACTTAGAATAACTCTGAATAACAGATGAGGAAATCTGTGACTTGATATGTATTTTAGTAGGAATACCACTAATATTTTACACTGTTGTATGTAGGTTAGACTATCAATAAAGATAGATGGTCTTTATAATGCTAAGAAAGTATCCCTTATAATGCTAACAAAGTTTTAGTTTGCTATGCTTATTTTTCATCGGTAAATTACTGGCCATCATATATAATACTATTTTTAAGGCACTGGAAGTTGATTTACTAATATTTTATTCAGAAGTTATATTCCAGAGATAATAATAATCTGTATTCTTTGGATACCTTTCTTGTGGCTTTTGGTATCAGGATTATGCTAGAATTACCAAATAAACTAAGAAGATTTCAATCTTTTTCTATGCTTTGGAGCAGATTGAGTGACATAGGAATTACTATAATTTGAAGGTTATTAGAATCTGCCCAAAGATCCTTTAGGTTCAGTTATCTTTTTAGACTGCAGTTTTCATTTGCTTAAATGGTTATCTTATCGAGTCAATTTTTAACAATCTACGTATCTTTAGAGGAACATACTTTTCATTTAGATTTTCACATGTAGAAATAACGGGCATGGTGCTTTCTTGGAATTTAAAAAGATTTTTCTAACTTGTCTGCATGTTTCTATTCCTGAGTTATGTTTTATCTTCTTAGTTTCTTGAATAGTCTTGCCTAAATTTTTATGTTATAGTGGGAAGATCTAAATTAATATTAAATGTATGCTTCTGTTTATTGACCACTCCTCCAAATAGTTTTAGTATGATTTTGCTGGTCGTGTTCACTGAGCAGACTGCCCAGTTCATTTAAATATTTCCTATTTGATAAACAATGGCAGGGGACACCTAATTTGATACCAAAAATCTTAAATTTCTTGGAACTTCGTTTTCTGATATCTGGAACCTTAAACATCTCAAGAGAGCAAACTCAAATATTCCACCAGTCCTAATATTGTAATATCACCCTCCTCTTTCTCTGTTCTGCTATATCCTGTATCAATAAAACAAGCGTAAGCAGGGACCCTGGAGGGACCCCTGCTGTGCTACCTGGACATTTCCTCCTTTTGCTATTTCCTAATTTACATCAGCCCCCATTAAGTCACTGAAGTCACTGAAGACTTCTAACACCCCATCATATTTTCAAGCTTGTGCTGTTCTTGCTACAGCCCAGCATCTCGGTATCTGACACCTTAAATCATGCACCTTCCTATGTCAAAAGCGTCCATCACGCGGCGTACTAAGGTACGGAAGATAATCCAGAGGTGTGCAAACATGAGTGAACTTCTCACTGACTGGGGCACAGAGAAAACTGGGAGGGAAGTGATTTTGGTGTTTTCTGTCTTTCAGCCTATTCCCATTCTGTCTGGACATTAGGCCTCCAGGTAGTTACTGTTTGGCCTCAAATAGAGGATTGGTGGGAAATGAGGCATAGGAGAGAAGCGGAAATCAGATTATGGAGGGACTGAGGAGGGAAAGGTCACGGTGAAATTTTTTTTTAGAGAAAGTTATTCTGTAAAGGGTTTTGTTGGTACGCTTTTAAAGGGGGATGGGAGTGGGTCCAGGAAGCCAGGTAACATGCTATATGGAGCCGTCCAGGCAGGAAACATGGCCTGAACTGTCAGTACCAGGAGAAGGCAGACAAGAGGCAGACTCAAGATGATCTTATCCAGAGCTCAGACTGTCAGTCAGAGAGACAGAGAATGTCGTCCGGGGGAGCCTCAGTTTCTGACCTAGGCGATGGGCGCCCTTGAGACTGCAAGGATAAGAACAGTGTTGAATGGAAAACCTGGCTTAGAAACTCTTGAGCTTGAGGGGTATGAACAGGACATCTGAGCCTCTCCAAATGGAATGGAACTTAGGCCAAAGCAGTGTTCACACTGCGAGCAGCTCCAGTCATCACCTCAGATGCAGTAGCGTACAGTGGTAGAGGCATCAGACATGGGGGAGTGACGTGGCACATGTGCGTTCTGACGTGGATTTTACTAGGGCTATGTGTGTTCAGCCCAAAACAACAAGACCAATAACCAGCGCAGGCAGTTCCACCCACGTTCTACTCAGCCAGAGTAGGGGCTGGCCTGGAGACCTGGCTCTGCAGGAGCCTCTGCGGGTTGGTGTACACATGCCTCTTGTGGTGTGAGCATGACACCAGTGGAGATGGGTGCATGAAGCTGTGTGTGTTCACAGAACACAGTCCCCAGATATAAGCCAACTACTCCATCTGGTGCTCAACCAAAGGAAGACTTTTCTAAGGCTGCAGGAGAAATCTGGCTGTTGGACCTAATGAGGGGGGGGACTTGACTGGTTATAACTTTTGAGTGTCTTTGTGTTTAGATGTTATTTAAAACCCTTGATAGGAAGAAATCGCCAGGGGCACATGCACAGTAAAAAGGATAGGTGGCCTCGAAATAGTCTGTAATGTCAACAGAGAAAAATAACTAATAACGGAGCTGGAGAGAGAAGGCCCAGGGTAGTCACAGGTAAATAAAATAGGATCTTCAAGGTCCAAGCAGAAGAGTGGGGCAGGGCAGGGCAGTGAGTGTGCACCTGGCAGGCTGCTGAACAGGAAGATGCAGGAAGTATGTGGGGCTGCCTCTTCCAATTATTTTTTGTGATAAAATCTACATAAAATTTATCTAAAATTGGCCAGGTATGGTGGCTCAGCCTGTAATCCCAGCACTCTGGAAGGCTGAGGCGGGTGGATCACCTGAGGTCAGGAGTTCGAGACCAGCTTGGCCAACATGGCGAAACCCTGTATCTACTAAAAATACAAAAATTAGCCGGGCATGGTGGCACGTGCCTGTAATTCCAGCTACTTGGGAGTCTGAGGGGGGAGGATTGCTTGAACCTTGGAGGTGGAGGTTGCAGTGAGCTGAGATCACGCCACTGCACTTCAGCCTGGGTGACAGAGCAAGACTCCATCTTAGTTAAAAAAACAGAAAAGATGTAAAATCATTTTAAGTATATAGTTCAGTAGTGTTAAGTACGTTTACATTGTGCAAACGGTCACCACCATCCGTCTCCAGGACTCTTTCCATCTTGCAAAACTGCCATCCTGTTTTCTAGAGCAGCTGCACCATCTCACCTTCCCACAAAAAGTGCACGAGTATTCGTTTCCTCGTATCTTCACCAGTACCTGTTTTTCCCATTTTTTTTTTTTTTTTTTTTTTACTGATAGTAGCGTGAGGTGGTACTATATGGTTTTGAATTGCATTTCCCTGGAGATTCATGGTGATGGGCATCTTTTCATGTGCCTGTTGGCCACCTGAATCTCATTTTTGGAGAAACGTCTTTAGTTGGGTTTCTGAAGTTGTTTGTGTTCTGGATATTAACCTGTTAGCAGATAGATGACTTGCAGACATTTCCTCCCATTCCACAGGTGCTCATCACTCTGCTGTGGCGTTCACTGCACAGGTGTTTTGATGTAGTAGGCTCTTTATGTCATTTCCTAGACCTTATAAACAGAGGAACAGGATCCCCTGTTGCTCAGAGCCAGCCAATTTTGAACTTGGTTTAGGCACTTTGGGGGCAGATGAGCGTTTGGGGAAGAAGTGACGTGGTGGGCTCGTGAGCCACTTGGTGCAGATGACCAGGAGGCGGTTGGACTTACACGGATCTCGACTTTAGACAAGGCATAGATATGTAAATGAGTAGAAAGATCTGGAAGGACATATACCAACCTGAAGCAGTAATGTCTGAGGCGGTATCAACAGGCACTTTCATTTTCCCCATATTGTTTGAATGTTTACAGTAAGAACACGTCCATGAGTAAGAGGGAAGACAGTCTCAAGGCTGAGTAGATGAGTAGCTCTCAAGCTTGCTGGCACGCTAGGACCACCGGGCCCCCACTCTCCGAAGCTGTCCGTCATCGGTCAGGGCTGGTGTGCTGAGTGATGGTATTTTTAGCAGCTCCATAGTGCCTCAGACCAGCCAGGCCCGAGAACCACTAAATGACATCTACCAAGGAGTGTTTCCTTCAGAAGCCTGATCCTAAGAATTCCAGGGGCTCCTTGGCCAAAAGGCAGATTCCTCAGCTCCCCACTGAACAGGCAAAATCGAGACCCCAGGAAAGCGGCTTAGGATTCTGCCTGTTGCTGAGGAAAATTTGGAAACCCTAATTTAGAGTCGAGTCCTGCCACTTTGGAACCAGAATAAACTCACCATCTACCTGTACTCTGAGCTGTATTCCTTTAGCTAAAGCAAGATGTGAGTTTCTAGAAAAATAAATTGTTCTTCTGCTTCATCCCTGGTGTTTTAGGGGGAGCTGAATGGGCAGAAAGGCCTTGTGCCCTCAAACTTCTTGGAAGAAGTGCCTGACGACGTAGAAGTCTATCTTTCTGATGCTCCATCCCACTACTCTCAAGATACACCAATGCGCTCAAAGGCAAAAAGGGTAAGCAAACCTATTTAGCTTTTTAAATCTCTGTCCCGTTCTGCCATATGTGGTCTAATACAATCTCTGCACTGGTATTTTTATATCTTGGGCCGAAAAGCATATACCCTGATTTTTTTTTCCTCTGCCCTTCCGTTGGAGTTGTGCCTAAAAAATTCTTAATTCTCATTTTACAAAAAAAAAAAAATGACCCTTTCAATTCTAATCAATCAATCTGCCTTTACTCACAAACAAATGTCCCATCCTACATTATAGAAACACATCTCAGTTTGATCCAGAATGAAAAGAGGATGGCTCCTCTTCAGATTTGGTGGGCAATGAAGGTTATTTGCCCTCTGTTAGGATTTTAGTCTCTTCACAGGGATCCAAGGGCTTCTCAAGCATATTTAACTATTAGATTACATTCATGTTTAGTATCTCATTTTTATTTTATTTCATCACTGCAAGTTTTTATATATTATATTTTTATATATATATATTTTTATTTCTTTGCTCATCTGCTTGGAAACAGAAGAAGAGTGTTCATTTCACACCTTAATCAGGCAATGTAGCCTTCACGTAAGTGAGCAACTGAAGATACCGATAAAGATACCAACTTAAGCTACCTTAAACGGGCCAATGTGGTAGACTTAAGGCTTCATTGTGGGGTTAACAAAAAAAAAGATAAAAAGAAATATGTCTCAAAAAATTATTGGACCTAAATAATCAGAATATTACTTGGTCTCAGTTGTAAAGCAACTGAATTTATAGTGAAGCAAATCATCTTTAATCATTTCCTACTACGTGCATTAAGACTATTTGAAAGGCCAACATTGGGAACATATTTCTTAACAAGCTAACTGTGTGTTTACATAGAGCTGCATATTGCATTGTTAGCCACTCTTGGAAAAAGCACAACCTAACAAACATGTTTACTATAGGAAGTTTGACTTGAGAAACTTAACCCAAGGTCAAGCAGATGAGTAGTGAACACAGGCGATCGAGTGTTGGCTCTGCACACTCCAAAGGCTGGCTTGAACGGCCAGCACGTGTTTTCCTTAAGTAACCCTGCCTCTACCTTACGAGAGGGCTATGCTCCTCCTCAAAGCACAACCTTCTGTGAGAGAAGTTGCTGCAACACGGAGTTGTTGTTGGTATACCAATGCAATACTAAGTTGAAGCACGCAGCTCAAACGATCGCATTAGATGGAATAGATGGTATCTTCAGGTGTGCTTTGGGATGCTTTACTAGGTGTTTTCCATTAGAATTAGACCTTGATTTTAAATCCAAGCAAGCTTGAAGCCCCTTGGCTTAGAGCATTTGCCTGCTGAATACTGAACACTCCCATGGCAAGAGTTGCTCTGGAGGGAGGGCCGGAGGAATGCTGCTGCTCTGTCAACGCAGGCACATGCTTCGCTGTAAAAGGAAGCGAGGTAAAGTCGTCCTGCAACGTATCAGAGCGAAAGTCTACCCCCCAAAGCACTATTAAGCGCTTAACGTATACTGAAATACTACCATGTGCTGTCTACTGAGGAAAATTCTTGTTTAATTATTTGGAAATAATGCAAGCATCCACTGAGGGCCTTTAAGCTTTCTTTGATTGTAATTAAGGTTCATTTTAGTTTTTTTTGTTTTTCTTTCAACCAGTGTGCCATCTCCAATATTTCTATAGTAGACTAACCAACCCAGGAATGCACTTTAACAATATCAGGATTTTATATAACCAAATAGTTTCCAGTACAACAAAATTCCCTTTACGAACTTTTGCTTTTTAAGATTACTGATGGGTACTCGGCCAACTTTACTATCAACCTAATTTCAAATAATGTCTCCCCTGCCCTTAGTCTTCATTTACGAAGTGAATTATTACCTGCCTTAGCTTTGCCAAAGCAATGGCCATCCCGCACGCCCCTGAGACGGAGAAGCGGAACCCACACATTTATGTCTGGGCCCTCTCTCTGGCGGCTGTGGGAGAGGACCTTTGCTTCTCACGGCATACTTTAACAACCGAGAGAACAAATGAACCCCCTTGACCTTTCCTGGTGGGAAACGGGGACAGTACGATGTTACCAAGTGAATTCTGTTGTTGGCGCTCACACACTCAATAAACTGTCACACTGTACCTACTAGGTTCCTCCTGAGGGTTCAGGTACAGCAAGGAGAGCTCCATCCCCCACAGTCCATCTCCATTCGGGGTCACCTACGTCATCTATGGGTTCTGGTAGTCCTGGGAGAGGCAGGGAAATGTCCTCGAAAAAGAAAAAGGGGCTGCTTTCCAAAGGCAAGAAACTGCTGAAAAAGCTGGGTGCAGTGAAATGATTCATGTACTTCCGGACAACTGCCAAAATCTATGTAATTTTCTTTAATTCCAAACTAGGGCTTTCATGACTCAAGTACTTCCTAAAAAAACCCAATCTTCTCCCCTGACACCAGTAGAGAAATGCACTTTTGCACTACCATCCACTTTAAACCAACCGCGAGAACAAAGAGGAGCGGTTGCTCTCTGTCACCGCTGGCAGTCTGCTCTCATTGTCCAAGCTCTGATTTGGGAGGTGGGAGGGGACGTCTTATTAACAAACAGGGGGGCGCGCATAGCTATCACCTGTAGCTCCCTCCCTACCTGTAATTCCAGTCTTTGTGCATCTGTCATCCGCCCTTAAAGGAATGATTTTCAACCTTTCTCCCTTCTCAAAATGCTTGCCTCATAATGCATAACTTTCACTTTGACTCTGGTCTTGAAATTCCTAGTTTAATTCGCCTTGATGTTCTGCCTTATAAATGCACAATGATTTGTACTGTCTAATAAAAACACAGTGTATACTTTGTATGTGTCGTGCATTCAGTGGTCTTCATCCTCACTGACACAGTGGTTCGAGATCAAGTTGTACAGGCTGTGCATTTTAAGATACTAGTTTCAGTCTCTCAAAGCCAGCCAGGCTACACACAGAAAATGTTTACTCAATCATTCAAAAAAGTGAAAAGGAGAGAAAGTAACTTTGTTTGGTAAAACACCAGTACTCCAACCTTCCAGAAAGCCGCTAATCTTCATTGCTTTTAATGTTCTATTTTGTGGCATATGGTTTTCTGTTACTTCCATTGTCAAAATGCCATACCCAAATACACAGCAATGAATGGCACACAAGTAATCCACATAATGCATAAGCCACACCAAAAACATGCTAAATTTAAATCTGATCCAAATGAGTCCATACCCATTTTCATCATTGGCATTTGAACAAAAGACTTACAAAGTTGCTGGCAGATGTATTTGATGGTTACTCTTTTGTAATTCTTGTCCACTTGTAAATTGTTTTTACTCTTTATACATACTTTTCAGACTGCCTTTCTTTTGTAATTTATGGACGGTTTATAAATGAATGACAAAGCTTTCCCCATTGTGTCTTCAAAAACTCTATTATAAATTGTAATATAATAGTATGTGGTAGATTTATTAAAGGAAATCCATGTGTGGTTAAGCTCTGTGTGGGTGTGTGCATGTGCACAGTTAGTGTAAAATATTTTCTAGAAATAAAATTTGTTATTTTATACAACACTGTTTATTCTCTTTGTTTTAAACATTTTATCATAGCGAGATAACAAATTCCTTTCTCTTATGTTTACAAAAAGTTCCATAACCTTACCGTTTCTGGGAGTATTTTTTTTTTTTCCAAAAATAATTTTGGTCCATGTTTTGGGAGCCATTGACAAAACATTGTGACACTCTCATACCACTGGTAACAGTCCAGTCAGTGACAAACAAAAGGTCATTAGCACAGAGTCAGTATAAGCACTGTCGGGATGAATTCAAACACAAGTTGTTAATTCACTCTGGCAGCTTTAGCAGTCAAGTGAAATTAATGAACAGCTACAGCAACAGAATACAACAAAATATAATTTCCCAAATATACAGAATTTTCCTAAAAGCCTTATTTTAGAAATCTCCAAATAACCAGATGTCTTTTCAAAGTAAGAGGTAAAACCAACACACTTATGGCAAGATAAGAATACAGTTCAAGTACATAACTTCATGAAAGTATAATTTATCTCATAATTGCTACCATAATGTTTTTACCTACCGTATTTATAAGAAAAGTTGAAGAATTGCTAACAAAAAGTATCCAGAACTAATGTTTCTCTAAATCTTTTGAAAGTATTTACCAGTTCCCCGAAGTATGAAAATGTAGGCAAACCTGAAGTAATAATGAGCTGGTCTTAGCTTTTCTCCCCCTTTCCCCGCCGTTTTATAAGTACAATTTTCCTAAAAGCAAAGCACCCAACCTGAGGACAACAAAGTGCTTAAGTCACATTTAATTACTCATTCGAGCCCCAACTCCCTCCCAGACTGAGCTGACAGCCACTTCAGCCATCTCCCTTTTCTAGTGATAAGAGAAACCTTATGTTTTGCTTTTGTTTTATGACCGAAAATTGTACTAAACGAGTTAGGAAGCTCTCCATTACCAGTGTGAGTGTGATTTTCTGTCTTCACAGGTTAGTCTAAAAGTCGAAGCCCAAACTGTACAAAGTACTCAAAGAACAGAAACCATTTCCTCTTCCAGTTCAGTGGCTTCAACCCTCCCTCCCGCTGCATCTAAGGAAGTGGGTGCACACCCAGACCCCATGAGCGCCCTCCACATTACCATCCCTTTGCCTCTGCTGCTCCCCTTCCCCCGCCAAAGAAAACAAGTGGTTCTTTGATTCAGAATGACCTTCCCATTCTCATCCAGACCTGCAGAGGCATAATTTTCATTGAACAACCAACAACTATACCTAAATTCTTAATTTTATTTTCTGTTATGACTTTCCTATGTATATTCAAAATAAGAAACTCTTGCCAAATTCTGTTTTGCAGTCACTTCTCATTCACATAAACATTTTCCTATTCTCTTGCTAACACTTTTCAAATAAACTATTTGCTTAAACTAGAACACAAAACTCCTGTGTTCTGCCAAATGAGCTTTACTGTATTTTCTTATTCTTGAAAATTATTTAAAGCTGCACTCAAAAAAAAAAAAAAATGCAAAAAGCCCCAACTTTCCAGAAATTTCTACTGTGCTTTTTTCTGTGGCCCCAAGGTAAAGGAGGGTGGCAGTGATGAGCGTGGTTCTTAGGAAAAGTTCTGCTAAAGAAAGCTTGTTTGCAGGTATATTGGCAAAGGCTAGAACTCAATGGAAGCTTTTGGGAAAAGAAAGAAAACTACATTTAAAGACTCATTTATATTAAAAAAAAAAAAGATATACTTCTAAACATTTTTAATTTTGAAAAGAAAACCATTTTATGTGAAGTGCTCTTTCATGTGGGTAAAGAAAAAATACGTAGCTATCCCCTGGCTGGCTCCGTGCACCTCCGTGTGCAGGCTCACTGTTGCAGCCCGACTTCAGGCCCTGGTGCTGCCAGCTGGCACAGCCCCTTCCTGCAGCCCCTCTCATCACACACAACTGATGCCTGGGAGTACCAAACAGTATATAGAGCTTATGGTAGAACAACAATAACCAAAGTCTCTAAAAAAGAGGATGAATCAGGTGTCAAAGTGAAATTAATATAAGAATGCGAAAGACATCCGACCCTGTCTGGAAATACCCCACGGAGCAGGAGGCGCTGCAGAGAGCGCTGAGAAGGCCCAGGTACAGGCTTGCCACCCACACGCGTGGGAGGGGCCTTCTGTACTTTTAGAACCTCACCCCAAAGACGTCAATAGGAAATCCGTAAAATACAGACAGCAAACAAAATGCCCAACTTCACTAGCTGAATAAATGAAAACTAATAATGCAAAATTTTTCTGCTCCAAAGTTACCCAACATCCAAACGTGAAACCGCTGACATTGGGGAGGATGGGAGCTCCTGCTGTGGGGGCTGCAATCTCTATTGTGTGTCTTACACACTTGGCCCAGTGACTTTCTAAAGCCTTGAACGTGTGTGTTTATGTCCTTTAACTGAATCTCATTTCTAGGAATCCAACTGAAAGGAGGTATCTAGGCAGGGATTTAAGAACTAAGAAATGCATCACATTATTATAACAGCGAGAAGTGGTAAATTCACAAAAAAATCCCATAGTGGTCTAGTGAAATGATAGCTATTCTTCACAACATTCAATATTCACCAGGTCACTGACGTACACACGTGATGACGGTGACTGGGCCATCACAACCTTCAGTATTCACCAGGTCACTGATGCACACACGTGATGACGGTGACTAGGGGGGAAGGCGCGACTGGTCACAGGCCCCCATCAGGAGCAGCATTTCTGTTAAGGTGCAAGGACCCCTTACACATGCCCCATGGCTGTCGCAGGTGGCCTGTCTGCATCCTTACCCCTCTCTGGCCCTTCTCCATTTTCTCTGACACTCGGACCCTCTGCTCGCTTGGCCTCATCTACCACAACTGGTGTCTGCCTCCAGCCTCGCTACCATTCTGCTGGGGTCTTTGCCTCCAGCCTCGTGACCATTCTGTACTTCACAATCCCTATTCCCTTTAGTTACCAGAAGAAGAAGATACATGTAAATAACTATACAAATTGAAAACAATAAAGCTTGTTTCTAGTCCCTTCTTAACAGCCTTCTCTGGGGATGGAGTAGGAGGAAAAGGGATGGGGGAGGAGAGGGTTCAACAACAACACTGCCTTCTGATAGCATTTGGTGAGCAGTCTCCAAAACAGCTGCCTCTAATTTTCCAATAAAATCCTTGTAGAGACAGCTGGACGTGCATCAGATTTGGGGAAGAAGCACCACACAGTGTGAGGGAAAAGGAGAGAGAGCAAGGCCCCAGCGAGAATTCGCAGCGCTGTCTCACCCACATTGTTCCCGACGCTGAGCCCGTCAGAAGGCAGGTGGTCTCACCTTGGCGAGAACCCGGGGCTCAGCAGCCCATCCTCTTCCTCAGGCCCACGTGCTGCTGGTTGTCCCCCATCCAAATCAGCAACTCCTGAGGAACTTAGTAGGAAGCAGGGAGAGAACAGTGAGACGCACACAGCCATTCTAGGGACAGCCCTGGAGTGCAGTCCACGCGACAGAAGACGGGAAAGAGGGCAAGGGCCCCAGGGACAGCACCTGCTGGGACTATGATTTTCCATATGTGCCAGTGCACAGAGAACCATGTGGGGAAGGCAGGAGGCTTCAAAGCAGTGAGACAGGGACCAGATAAGTTGTGCAGGCAGTGGTCCTGGAGAAG